GTTAAAAAATCAGGTTGGTTGTTGTTTTTAGTAAAATTATAAAGTATCTCGCTGCTGAAGTGCACCAAGTTCACATCTACAACACCAATTAGTAAGCAACCGCACAGCAAATCACTCCAAATAAAATAGAATCCATCACTGCTTGGTCAACTCCTCGGAGCTCATCACATCTGCGTCTGGTGCTGTGGCTCATTAAAACACTGTTTCTGCTCCCTGCATTTCCCCACCCGTTGGCAAAGATTTTATATTGTCTGCTCAGCGCACATTTGCATTACACCCGTCCCCGATTTTGGTCCGGACCCACACATACTGGTATACCCCACAGCATTCCAAAGCTTGCTTCATTTACCACATTGCCCCAGTGCAGAAGGATTTCGTCAATTCGCCTTCCTCCGGCTGCATTTGCCTGCCACTTACTCCTTTCTGTGCGTAGCGAGCACTTTGAGTTGCCATTTTGTGGATATGTCGATTTATTATTTTTTATTGTTGTTACGTTTTACGAGCTGCCTCGAGCAACTCGACTGCCGACGGGGCAGATCTGCAGATATTTCGAGAAATTTACGGTTGTTCCTCATCGTTTTGGTAGCCAGGCTTTATCTCCATCCAGCTGCAAAGCGCACGAAATTTTATCAAAATATTTCCAACATCTCGCTTCTGCTCGGTTCTTTATTGCACAAGTTAATTTTACAACGCGATGCAGAAGTGCTCCACACGGAGTGAATCTTCCTTGGGTTTTAGCAGCTGCAAAATGAATGCTTTTATCTGAAAAATATTCGTGCGCATGTATTTTGGTTTCGGGTGAAGAATAAAATTAAGACTCTTAAAAAATAGTATTTTAATAGATATCATATAAGAAATGAAATTAAACTTGTATATCAAAACAAGAGGGATCGCAGTTACTCAGCTAGTGGAAGTGGGCACTCAAATTTCAACATTTTTTGGCATGTCGATGGAAATTGCAGAAAAAATAATAAATGTATCTATGTATCTGCGTACGGAATCTGCGAATAGAATTTGCAGGCTTAATCGCAACTTTCTAGCTTGTATAGTTCCTCAGATCTTGGCGTTCATACGGACGGACAGACGTGCGGACATGGCTGGTGATCCTGATCAAGAATATATATTATATACTTTGTAGGGTCGGAAACGCTTCCTTCTACCTCTTACATACCTTTCAACGAATCTAGTATACCCCTTTACTTGGGTAAAAGGGTATCAAATTAAAACAATGTGTAGACGCATAGTAGTCCCACTGCATCTGAATAATATAGTTTCAACAATTGAATGCTTATAACAATTATTATCAGTAAAGAAATCGATTTGGCCTCAGGTGATTATAATTGCCCTTCGAACAATAAGTCATATGTGCTTGAAATTAAGAATTAATCTTGAAGTTGTTGAAGTTGATTTAAGCGATAATTCTTGATTCCTTATCAAAACGAAATGTATCGAAAATTATTATTTGATTTGGCAATATCTGTATAGTTTGTTTTTTGCGCTTCAGGGACACAGAAGGGATATTACAAATATTTAAAGAAGAATAATTTGAATATGCACAGGAATACATGCACAGAATACCAAATTGAACATCGCTTATTTGGATATATTTTTCGAAATATAAGATTCATGAATAAGGCATAACCTCAAATCGAAAAGTTGCGTGTCTGCAGTTTTGTCAACGAATCTTAAAAATAAGCGAGTGCGTAATTAAATTGAAACCGTCCAGATAAACGCAGGAAATGGTTGGAAAAGAGGCAGCTAGCGAGCGAAGTGGTGCCCTGGCCATGTAATGCCTGCCAATTGGTACAAATAACTATATATAGGATATATAAAACCTCCTCCAGAAACTGTGCAGCTGCAGCAGGAGCGGCAGGAGCAGCAGAAACTGCTTCGTGCAGCAGCAACAAACTCATAAAAAGGCGCAGAAAAACGAGCGAGAAAAGCTTGCTAACGACTTAAACGCTGCAGAAAGGAGCTGGGGAAACGAGGTCCTCGGGTAGGATCGGCACTCGGTGTCGTGGAGCTCGGAGGTTGCCGAGTGGCAGGTTAGCTGCAGCCTGGACAGTAATAAAAGTAATAACAACACCAGTACCAGCAGCAGTACCAGTACAAGTGCAGCCTGCACGAATAGCTGCACCATGTACATGGGGTACATGTACATATGTATGTATGTATATACCGTGCTCCACACGAAGCTCGGATTTGTGTGCCCCCAGTTCTCCTGCCACAAGGCCCTGCGCAGAGTCGCTTTATGCGCGTTAATGGCATCGTTTACTGGCTAACTGTACATGCATATAGACGTGCATCTAGCAGATCTACATATACATCTGCACATATATAGATGTATGTATATTCGTGTACGGTAGTACATACTTCTGCAGGGGGGGCGGTGCAACACCGACAGCTGCAGCTTTTCGTGCGGGGATACATTTCGTGCCAAGTGGGCGTTACCAACGCTTCCCGAGCGTTTTATATAAATATTGTGTAATGTGTGTTTTATTTAGGATTGCACTTAAAGTGACTAAAATGTTCGGTGATTAAGTAAATGCTTCATTCGGAGCCCGATGAATAAACGCAGTTTTAGACTTACTTGAGTTTTTGGCTTCATTTCTAAACATGGTACTGTTGCACTAGCCTCAAAATGAAACTAATTAGCTAAAAAATATCCAGTTGTACAGTGTTATTAACAAGTTTAGATTACAGATAATTATTGTTGTTGAGCATTTTAATTAGTGATTGTTATTTCCCATTTTGTTTTCTAGAAATGTATTTAAAATTTCTGTTTACTTGAGAGCTTGCAAGCCATTTTAATGCTTCATGGAAATTCCGTTTAAAAGTAACAATTACGGAATTGTATCTTTTAACCATTAGAGAGTCGGGGTCACGAATATTTTTTATGAAAGTATTTCAAAAACTGTTAGGCTATCTGTATAGGGAAATAGTAGGTCCCGCCCCAATTTAATAGTCCCAGATTAATACTTATTCGTACTAATGAAACATAATGAACTTGTAGACTAAAGAGTATCTGATTCGACCGCCTTGTGGTCTTAATAATATAAATTCGCATCGTTCACCAAGTTAATCCAATTAAAAGTTGTAGTCGGGGTGTATACGACTCTTAAACGAATTCTTTATAAAGGAAAATACGGGTCTACGATGTGATAAAGTCCTGAAAAGAATCATGAATATATACGTTAGCAATGTTAATTTTCTCGTTATGTTTTCACGCCATAAACGCGTATAACTGCCCAATTTAATACTTTTAAATCGACTCTTTGTGGTTTCACGCTGTGGCTTTGAAAAGCTAATTAGAGTTAGATTATTCTAATACTTTAATACTCACTCACATGGAAATGGTTAATATATTCTAATTCAAAAGCACTGTCAGTGCCCAAAAACCAATGCCGCTAGCGATAGGTGGGCAGACCAACGAATAGGGCTAGCAAAATTGGCTTGCAGTTATTGACATGGTCAGGCGTCGGCTGCGGGAGCAATAAATCAATTTATTAGATTTATTTGCGCCCAATAAAATAATTTGCAGGCATAAAACGGTAACAAAACAGCGCCCAAACAGCGGCCAGCCCACTAATGACTTAATTACTAAATTAAAAAGGCGCAGACAGCGCGGCAAATGTTCGTGCAACGCGACCAGCTGAATGAGCTGAATGAGCATGTGGGCAACACTCGAGTACAAGTTACAAGCCACAACAGGAAGTAGAGCTGTTCCCAAAACGAGTTTCCAGTCAAGTTCGCACACGCAATCTGAGTGCGCCAATGCAAATCCAATCCTGCCACAGCGCTGGTGTTGCATGCAACAGCAGCAGCGGCAGCAGCAACACTTGCACGCCAGCAACACCAACACCAACACCAACACCAACGACCGCATCGCATCGCAGGAGCAGCGAGCAGAGAGCCACCATAAAACGGGCCAATGGATATGAAGCTCCGCCTACATCCAAACTACCGACAACGACAACGACGACGGGCCAATGTGGCCGCTGTGTTGTTGCTGCTGTTGCTGCTGTTGCTGCTGTTGGTGTGTTGCTGCTGTTGTTGCTGTTGCTGCTGTTGGTGTGTTGTTGGTGGCGGCGTGGAGGTAAAACCAGAAAACGAAAAAATGGCTGGCGATACGAAGAGCATAATGGCATAAGCTCGGCGAGCAAAAGAGAAGACAAGCAACACCAGCGGGCAAAATATTAATGCGAAGCAAATATTCCACAAGGGACCGGGTGAATAGTAAAGTTTATTTTTCACACAAGTGTGTGAAATATGTTTTTTATGCCTACAACGAAGTATATCCCATATGGCCAAAAGAGTAGAACGGTCTTTAATATTACCTAAGTTAGGTGAGGTATCATTATAATGAGGAAATGGTTGGACAAACGTATTCATCTCGAGATACAGAGAATAGTTATGGTGTTTTATTGGACTACTAACTTTGATACAACAACAAAATGTAAATACATATAGCTTTAGGGAAATCAGATAAACACAAAGTTACGAAAACGTATTTTGCATTGCCTCAAACACTGGCTCAAACATGGAGTTGCACACCACCATTTGCTATGTATTCTTCTAAATAAGGATCGATTGATTTCGTAGGTATAGTAATACACACTGCTAAAAACAATGTCATGTTATACTCTAGATCTGCTTGGCTAATTATGCTTATGCTACTGGTTTTCACGGATCGGAAAGGGTGTGCATTCCTGGTTGATATCAATAGGTTCCCCGTATTAAGTTGCAAATTGTGCCGACGTTTTTGCAGCCATGTTTACGTTGCACATCGCTGTCTGCCTGTTTTTGCACCACGCTCTTTTGCCAACTGGCGAAATTCAAGATGCAGTGCCTCCGACTCTTGTCGAATTATTTGTTTATGGGATTGAGATTTGTCAATGAAGCTGATTGTAAAATAAATGGGCAGATCGATTGCAGACAAGTGATGATCGAGAAGCATGGGAATAAGAAACTAACGACATCTTTCTCTCCCCGCTTTTCAGGCCAAGACGTTTTCCTAGACTATTGCCAAAAGCTATTAGAAAAATTCCGCTATCCTTGGGAGCTGATGCCGCTCATGTATGTGATATTGAAGGACGCAGACGCCAACATTGAAGAGGCTTCCCGGCGAATCGAAGAGGGTAAGTCTGCTGATATATATGCTGTACAGCACCGCACTGCCAAGCCCCTGAACTGGCTGTGAAATTGTTGAATTGTATAATAAAATGCCGAATGTCTCTCGATCTGATCTAAACCAGGCCAATACGTTGTGAATGAGTACTCCCGTCAGCATAATTTGAATATCTATGACGGGGGTGAGCTGCGCAACACAACGCGGCAATGTGGATGATAATTTTTCATTAACTAGAGTAACATGTACTACTTTGCCCCGATATTTATTGTTCAGCATCACATATTAACTTATCACAATGCTTTGGTGAAATCGCGCGAATTTAACTTTCGTAACTTAGAGTTGAGTAACTTAGCGTTTTATGGAGCAGAACCTCTGTAAATAAATCGAATTTATCGGTAAACTAAAGCGCGTCTCGGACTATCTTCAATCAACAAGCCAAAAATGTGACCGATGTGTGACCGCCGCTTTCTTCAATCAACATTACCCTGTGCTGAGATGTCTGGCCGCCAATTATTATCTACAATCAACATTCTCTTCTCTTCAATCAACAATCAACAATCCCCCAACGGATCTAATCAGCATGCAACAGAGCCCTTGCCGCCAACGAATAATATAATCAAAGGATAACATTACTAAGCGTTTTCAAAATTTATCGAATACCACGCCAAATCAACGATCAACATTTCAACACGTTCGCATCGCACATCGGCTGTATAGCTTTAGTTTAACCTTATTTAAGTTTGGCATTACTCAGTTTATTGGGCTAATCACGGTCTAATTGAAGCCATTGAAAGCGCCTTACTTCAGTCATTTATGCTTTTATTGTTTACTTAAGTACTTAACTGAATCTAAGTACAAATAATGTTTCTTTCGTAAGCTGCACTAAATTGATCAACAAAAGGGATCGAGGAGAAAACTAAGATATACACTCATCAAATAGGCTTACAAGCTAATCTCAAATATCTTCTCTGCGTGTAAATTTGTATCTTAGCAAGGTACTTGCATAGGCATAGTAACCCTTGAAGAAATGATCACTATGTTCCGGGGGTCTGGGTATCAAAACTGTTGTGAGATAGTGCACAAATTATAAATATATTTAGGTTAATTTCATCGATGTCTTACGAAACTCTAATTGTAATATTTAATTACACGAAAATTCTCATTGACATTGTAAAATATTGTTACGACCTTAAGATTTAGCCCAACGGAATATTATAAAAAGGATAAACCTGAAATGTCAGAAATAAACTATTTTCCTTAAACAAAATCGGCCTCGCTGACATAATGAGATGATGAATTGGAAACTGAAACCCTCGGATATGCGAATTGCCTCACTGAACTGGAAGTATCAGCTGTTGTTTGTTTTGTTGATGACATTAAACTGGTAACGATTGCTTTTCAAGTTGTTGCCATTTCACGAATCCATTACCATTGCACCTCCCAGCATCATCAGCTGAATCTTGCCAAGCTGGGAGCTGGGAGCTGGGAGTTACTTGTGTCGCCACTGCTGCTCGGATCGTAAATGCATCATTAAACCGAAAAATGCATGCGAAAAATTTACGACACTGCCAACACCATTGCTAAAGGCCTGCACTGGGAGAAAAGTTTGAAGCGGATGCATTTTCGATTTTATCTGTTATCTGTTTATAAGTAGTAGTAGAAACTGAAGACTAAAATTATGCTCTAGCTTACTTGACTTACCTTAGAACTACTATCGACTCGTCTAATTGTAAATACGTTGGGTAAAACATTTTAACTCCCATTGGTACTATAATATCGATGGATAAATGTTAGGGCTGCCTTGTGGATTTTTCAAAGTGTGTGCCTGAGATTCCCAGCCTCGGCTTGAGTTCCTCCAGCTGGGATAAACGACTGTACTCCGCCACCAGGTAGCTGCAATGCTACGGCCGTAATAGCTGAACATCACTCCCCGGCACTAAACACGTCACGATGAAATTTCAGGAATCGCAGGCGATCTGGGAGGGAGAATCTCTGGGTTCCGTGGGTAGGCAATGGCGACGTGTAAATGTGGGCACCATAAAGCTTAAAAGTGTTTATGGTTGAAATGTGCGCCAGTGAAAGAGGAATCGCCGAAGCGGTTAACGTATTTGATGCCAACGAATCGAGAGTTTTATTGCAATATTCAAGGTCCCTTAAAAACTATATTTGTAAACCCACCTTTTTAGTACAAGAATAGAGAACCATCGTAAAAACTGCAAGGAAAAGCTGACCTTAGGCTTTTTATGCAATATTTATCAATAAAACAGCATTTTAAATATAAGTAACAAGTGCAAATGCTTTTAAAGATATTTCAACGTTCAACTTATAAGATATTAAGACCTTTTTTTTAACAATGGATAACTAGTTGTCATAAACGATTTGATGTCCAGTTTTAATCATACTATTCATAGAGGACTTTGAATTTCTTGAATTATGTAAACATGTTTGATAGTTCAAATTAATTCAGACATTCATTCATTATGATTTGCCTTACTTTTTGTAAGTAGATTAGATCCAATCATTTTTGTCTTTGTTTAGGTCTATGGAAATATGTGGATAGATGGACTTAATAGTCTGTTTTCAAAGAGTGCGATGACCAAATCGTCTCATGACTCAGAGCATATAGTAAATTCATATGGAATCCTACCACTCTCCTCGACCCAATTTTACGACGCACTGCCTCAACCCTCCGTTGTCATCCCTGCGTATTTCCAGCGACGCCTTTCTTTGTTTTCCCATAAAAAATAGACTCGCTGGCATACCATTTTGTACGGAGCTCCATAACGAGCTGCAAGCCGTATCATCATCATCGTCGTATGGGGCTGCCCAGCCCGACTCAACTCAGCTCGGCTCAACGAGTCTAGAACAAATTCCTTTCCACTTTCATCCCAAGCATTTACCAATGCTTATTAAAAACTATAGGAAAGCGCAGACCCGGCGGCTGCAGGAAGCAAAAATTTCCAACTTTACGACTTCATATTGTGGGCGGATCGTAAAATATTTGTGCAGCGTCAACTTCCACTCCACTTCCCAGCCGCTCCTCGTCCTCGTTTCCCATCGAGTTTCGCTACTGTCATTTTTACTGCCCCACGACTTACAAGCTGCCACTTGTGCCAGACATCTGATCCACATGCCTAGCCATTGCCTCCTAAGGACAATCAAGATTCATCATGGCCACGGTCCTGGCTCGCTAAATAATAAGCCAGCAGTTTGTCATAAAGGATTCCAGCGCAATCGGGCTGGACATAGTTACCCCAAAACCGCCTTGACCCCTTTATTCCTCCATCAATAAGTCAATTCGACCGGAAACTTATGGCTGAGGTTTTGTGGCCTGCAAAAGCTAGATTATAGTTCATTGGATGGAGCAAGCACAACTAGTTCCTGCAAAGCAAGGCTCAGAAAGATTAAGGATTAAACGAGGTCATCACATATTTGACTACATTTTATTAACATTGAAAAGCGAGTAACAGTTTAAGCCGATCACTGCCAAATTCAGTTCACTTGCATAGTGCAGTGAATTTGCCTTCAAATAAAACTTTGATAATTGGTACATATTCAACTTTAAAAGCTTCTCTTGAGAGTGCATTTCTTGTCCTACAAATAACAGTCAAATTCCTATGTCCATTTGCACTTATTTCATCACTTGAAATAGTCCTGAATTTCCAAAGCAGAGTGCTCGCAGAGCTATTAGATCGAAAGGTCGTCACTTCGCTGCCCGGCCAAGCCAAACCTGCTCGGAAATGCATTCCTCTAATTAACCCAACACCAAGACTCGGTTTATGGAGAAACCCAATGAGAGTTGGCTATATATTAACAAGAGCTTGCTCCGTACCCTGACCCGCTGTCCATCAGCAACCTGGGTCACAACTTTTTTACGACTTTTTATTATTTCGTCAAATCGCACAATGGGCGGGCGGCATTAGTTGCGACTAGGTTGGGTCTGGCATTGACTGTACCTTCGGCTCGAACTCCGCCGATTCCACTCCCATTCGATACTTGTGCGTCTTCCGAGGAGGCAACTCCTCAGCCAAAGAAAGGGGACCACAACGGGGAGGCACGCTCATGCGTAATACTCTCTCGTATGCTCTGGCCCTGTTTAATGCATTCTGCAGTTGGCGGAAGAAAAAATCCCATTAAAATTAAGTAAAATTGCAGCAGCAGCAGCAGCGTAATCGTAAAAACTTGGCATTTTGATGTTGCAGCAAGCAGTAAAATTTTGAAAAGTTTTTGCCACGCAGATAAGGCGGGGAGTCAGCGGAAGACAAAGGCTCTAGCTAGTCGAAGCTCCAACTGGGACTGAAAGCGGGATGGTGTCGTGGATGTGGATGTGGATGTGGATGTGGATGTGGTCGTGGATCTGGGGGCGTGGCACTTGGGAGGGAGGAGCGGAGGGTTTATTATGTGAGCACCGTGCGAAGGTTGCACATAAAGTGCATTCCGGGGCCATAGGTGGGCCCGCGCTTGGAGTCCGAGGAACTGGGACCTCAGGTTGCTCATGTGCCTTCCAAAATGGCGCACATCTTGGCCGGGTGGCATAGACATTAAATGCGGCCGTAGTTAGTGCTATGGCCGCCAGCCACGGCCTTAAACTGCTCTACTCTATTTTCCATAAAAAGTGTGTTAAATTAACGATGTGGGTTGCCATCGAGAACTCACTAGAATATGTTTAAGTTATTAAGGTGTTTTCCGGAAAAGTATTCCTTTATATTTCGTTATCATTTGTAAAATTATGTATAACTAAGAAGGCAAAAGGGAGAGACAGATACATCAGATAAGAAAAACAGTAAATCCCAAAAATATCAAAATGCTCTCAAATTCACTAAATCAAACTGGCTCTACGTCGGCGACCGATTCTAAGGACTCTACATGAAAGGGTATATATGTATATATATGTTAATATAATACACTACATTAGATTAAGAAGAAATATGACTTTGTAGGAAGGTTTCATGAAATAATATAGTGAAACTATATATAATGATTGGATTAGTATTAGTGTCAAAGAGCTACTTACCGCTCTTAAGCTTGTGTATTTCATCAACACGAATGTACCCTTTAAAATATTTGTAATAGGTACATATGTGTAACCCCGAAAATGTCCTCCCTTTTGAGGTGTTCACAATTATTTTGGAGTCAAGAAATGCTTCCGCCCAGACCTAATCGCACAACTTCTGTTAATCCGCAGCTCGAGTGGAAATAAATCGCACAGTAGCGCAGATCTACTACAACTACTACACCCCGATGGCCCTGGTGAACGGGGCGCCCATGTACCTGACCTACCCGAGCATCGAACAGGGTCGCTATGGGGCGCACTTCACCCATCTGCCGCTCACCCAGATTTGCCCGCCGACTCCGGAGCCGCTGGCCCTCAGCCGCTCCCCGAGCAGTCCCAGTGGACCGTCGGCCGCCCACAACCAAAAGCCCTCGCGACCGGGCAGCAGCAACGGCACCGTCAACTCCGCGGCCTCGCCCACTATGGTCACCACGATGGCCACCACCTCCTCCACGCCCACGCCCACACTCAGCCGCCGGCAGAGATCGCGATCGGCCACGCCCACCACTCCGCCCCCACCACCACCGGCCCACAGCAGCAGCAACGGAGCCTACCACCACGGCCACCACCTGGTCAGCTCCACGGCTGCCACGTAGCAGTATCGCAACGTTGCTGCCGCCGTGGCAGCAGCAGCAGCGGCCGCTGTCCTCTTCGTGTAAGTATCCAGATTGTTGCAACAACTTCGTTTGTTTATTGGTGCATCATTATGTTAACACTTTAGTGAAACTCAACCTACTATGTTTGTTAATAATAAACTAACAATCTGTTTTAATAACCCAGATATAATGATGTTAGCATCTCAAATCTATTTTGAATGGTAAGCTCGCGTTCGAAATGCAACACATCAAATACTTCAAATTTGAGACTCACAACTGCGTGTTCTGATTAATCAACTACCACTGATAAATTTGTATTAGATTACAAGATTTAGCCGTGAACCAATGTGTTCCCAAGAAAATCCCGGGTACAGGAAAGCAATCTGAGCCGGCTAAGGTTTTCCAACGCTCTGTGTAGATTGTTTATTGGTGCTCGCTCATGTAGGTACTCAGTTGCTTAACTCAATAACGTCGCAAACTAAAGTAAAATCTTAAACTCAGCCCAGCATTAGTTCCAATACTCGAAAAGTTTCCGTTTCCGCTTTCACACTTGCAGCTCATTTCGCATGCTGGACCAGGCGCATATCCTTTAATCAAATCAATTTCGCAGCATAGTTT